GAAAGAAAGAAAGAAAGAAAGAAAGAAAGAAAGAAAGAAAGAAAGAAAAGATGCTCATTCCTTGACACCCTTCCCTCCCTTCTCCAGCTATCTCAGATTTACAAGATTGAATCCTGGCCAGGTTCACTTAGCAGGACAAACCCTCCAATTAAGTCACAATATTGAGGGAAATTTCCTCAGTGGAGGTATGATAGAAAGTATCAGGGTCTTGAAGAGTCCTCTTGTCTTCCTTCATCATGTACATTACTTTTCTGTTGCTGTGATACAATACCACAACCAAAATCAACCTAAGGAGGAAGAGTTTATTTTGAATTCACATTTTAAAGGGAAAGTCTATAAGGGCAGGAGAACCATGACAGGGCAAGAAGCTGAGAGAGAGAGAGAGAGAGAGAGAGAGACAGAGACAGAGACAGAGACAGAGACAGAGACAGACAGAGTCAGAGAGAGACAGAGAGAGAGAGACAGAGAGAGACAGAGACACAGAAAGAGAGAGACAGAGAGAGACAGAGAGAGAGATAGAGGAAGGAGAGATTACATCTTACATCTTCAACTGCAAATGTGATATAGATTTAGCCTTAGGATTTGTTAGAAATTAATTTTTATTTTAAAATGTATGCAATATATTTTGATCAAATCTTTCCCTCCTCAACTTCTCCTATATACTCCCAACCTCCCTCCTTCAGTTCTTTCTTTCTAATTAATAATAATAATAATAATTCTCAAGCCCCCCAAAACTGAAAGCCTAAGGTAACAATGAAAAGCCCCTGGGAGGGGAGACCCCCACTCAAGCCATGAGAACTTTTGGCCACCCAAAAAACTCAGAGACACCAATCTTGATGCAACAGCAAGAGATATATTTTAATCAGCACGCTGAGGCCAAGACTCCATAACCCATGCAGGGGCAGAAGAGCTCGACCCCCAGCTCGAGGAGAGTAGGGTATTTAAAGGAAAAAGAACACAACCCAGGGGGAATGGGGTGGGGTAACTGTGGAAAGTGCCAGGGTTCAGGGAACAATCATGGGGAAAGTGCCAGCCCATTACTCAGCATATGACAGGGTTCAAGGAACAATCATGGGGAAGTATAGGTCTTTTTTTCTCAAGGCTCAATCTTATTTAATCATATCATTTACATCGTCTGCTTTGTGGTTAGCCAAGTTCTTGTTCTTGGAGCACAAAGCCCTAGAACTAGCCAACCTGCTCTCCTGGCTCTTTTTACTGTTAGTGTGCTAGAAGTGAAATTTCTACTAACTCTTCAACAACAATAAAAACAAAACCAGATAAGACCAAAAAAATACCCAAACAAAACAAAAAGCACATAAAAACCCCATGGAGTCTGTCTTGTGTTAGTCAGATTCTCCTGGGTATGGGGCCTGCTTTGGAGTGTGGTTGTTATGCACAGAGACATTCTATTGGAGAAAACTGACTTTCCTTCTCCCAGCAAGTATCAATTGCAAATAAGTTTGTGAAAAGGGGTGAGACTTTATGTTCACTTACTTCCTCTTCTCATTTCCTAGATTTTGCCCAGTTTGAACTTGGGCAGGTCTTGTGCAACCTTTCACGGTTTCTCTTGAGTTCACACATATATCAACTCTACTGTATCTGGAAGAGGCTTGTTTCCATGGAGTCATTCATCACCTCTGGCTGTTACAGTCTTTCTGTCTCCTCTTCTGCTTATGCACCAGTATCACCCAGATACAACAACTACAATACTACTACTAACAGCAACCTACCTGCAAGATATATTGGTGCAATAATGGCACAAATGATATGGGAGTAATTAACTAATTTTTAATTGAATTTTAAGTCCCACTCCATGGCATGGAGTCTATAGCTGACACTGCTAACGTGGCCAAGGACTTGAGACTCAAAAGGTCACAGTCCCTAGAGGGAAGACCTACAACTATTATTCTGCTAAAAAAACAGCAATAAGATAACATACTGCTATATCCATAGATAAGCACATCACTCAACCCTCATCAGAGAAGCTTCTTGTAATAGATGAGAACTAACATAGAGACCCACAACTGGCCAATTACAGAGAGGGTGAGACTTTGGAGCCCTCATCCCTAAATAGAATGTCACTAACCTTTTCAAAATTAGGGATGTCATTTGTAAGAGTATTGTCAATTTAGTATTGGTTCATTTTTTTTTGTAACAAACTTCTTTCTATTTTTTCACAGTAATTTCACGTAGGCCTGGTCTTATTCATGTAATTTCAGTTTCAAGTATAGCCTTTGTCCTTGCCCTGTTATGTGGGCTCCTGATCTCCTATGTGATATAGTAAGTATACTACAAATAACCTCACCCATTCTTAATAAGGCAGCAGGTACACAAGGAAATTATTTTGTGTCAAAAGATGATGATAATGGTGATGATGATGGTGACATTTTTTGTAATTACTAAATAATTATGGTCATTATACATTTTCAGACCAGGGTTTGCCAAAATATGGATTGTTGGTCATGTCAGAGAAGGAGGAAGAGGAAGGGGAGGAAAACAAAGAAGGAAAACAGAAGGAGGAAGAGGAGGAGGGAGAAGAGGAAAAGGAGGAAGAGAAGGAAACCAGCCTAGATTAAAATTTGATGGGATGGAAATGCCAGAACCTTCCCAGTGTCGGGGTTATAAGTTTGTACCAACACATCTGGCTTATGTGAATCCTTGGGATTTAACGCAAGTCCTCAGGCTTGTGTGACAATTACTTTGCCCTCTGATTTTTAGAATTTAGATATTAGGGTGAAGCTCTTATTTTTTAACTAATTACTTTATTTGTTTATATTCTAAATGTTACTCTCCAGGCCCCCCCCTCAAAAGATCTTATTTAAAAAATACATTTAAAATGTTTTTATTTGCTCTTTGAGAATTTCATACAACATGCTTTGATCACATTGGGTGTAGCTTTCAAAAGATGACATGGTCATTTTGAAATTATTAAGCCAAAGTGGCATCATATTTGGACCACATACTATGGCTCTAATTCAGTCTTAGATTCTATTGCATCCTTCTAAAATACCCAAAGAAAGTAAAAACTTCTTTTAAAGTTGATGGCAACCTGAGTATGGCAAGTGAAGACATTTATAAGACTTAACTAATGGGAAGGACTCCTTTTTGAGACAAGGACTCACAATTTTAGCCCATGCTAGCCTAAAACTTACCTAGTTCTTATTCTGTCTGTGCCTTGAGCTGGGAGTATATTTATACACCTAGATGTTGAGTATAGAGTGTTGGATATTTGGCTTATTGTGGACTGTGTGAATTCGTATCAATGCTTGAAAATATTGAATTAAAATAGTTATTTTTATTCGTGTGTATTTTTGAATCCTGTTAAAATTTGCTTCTTGGGTCAGTGCCTCACTCATCCTGAATCTACATCTTTACTACATTTAATGGAAAATAATTTTGCTATCTCATAGCATGTGTCTAGGACAGAGGTTCACAACTTATGAGTCAAAACCCTCTTAGGGTCAAATGACCCTTTCACGGGGGCTGTCTATCAGATATCCTGGAGATCAGATGTTTACATTATGAGCTATAAAAGTAGCACTATTACAGTTATGAAGTAGCAGTGAAAATAATTTTATGATTGGAGGTCACCTCAACATGAGGAACTGTATAAAGGATCTTGGCATTAGGAACGTTGAGAACTATTGGTCTAGGATGTTCATTCCTTCTGTTTTTCCTCTATCACTGCTCTTTAGAATACAATTACACTAATCATTAAAGCATTCTTTATTACCCAAGTCACATAGAACTAAGTACATAAGTATGCCAGGAGAAAGTAGAACAGCGTCATCTATTTCCACATCACACTGAATGATCTAGCTCACCCATCCACTTTTAGCACTGGACTAACAAAGGGCAGGCACAACCTCAAGTGCGAACCTTAAGGGAGAGTTTAAAAATTCACTAGTCAGGATGAACCATATCTTAGTTTAGTGTGAAAAAAATATCAATACCCAACTAGCCACAGTTTACAAAATAATAGCATCTTTCTGTGTGTGAGTGAGCATGTTGCTATGTGTGGCCAGAGGCCAACATCTACTTCTGGTATCAGTCCTCAGGTGCCATCCACCTGAGGAGTGATATGAGATAGGATCTCTCTCTGGGGTTTAAAACTCGCCAGTTGGGTTATAAGGGGAGCACTGAGCTGCAGGAATCTTCCTGTCTCTGCCTCCCCAGAGTCGGGTTACACGTGTGCACCATCACACCTGACTTTTTATGTGGGTCCTGGAGATTGAACTCAAGTCATAAGGCTTGTGTGATAAGCTTTCTGCTGACCAACCTGTCTCCTCAGCCCCAGTTAAGTACAGAAGTCATGCTGGGCAAAGCCAGGATATTAGAAGCTGCATAAAAGGAACAATCTGTAACATCCTACATTTATTTAAAATCTTGACATTTTGTTCATTGTAGCTTTCTTGGCATTGCTTTTTATTTTGTATTATATTCCATTGAAAGTGCCTTTTGTTGTATCTTGAATTTTGTATTTAGTCTATATATGTCATCCACACCCAGTACTGCTTTAGTTATGAGGTTTGAAATTATAAAAGTATTTGTTGACGTGAATCACCCATGCCAAGTCAGAAATTTCAAGTTTCAAATAAATATATATTTCTTTCTCTGTTCTCCACCTTCCAGCATGCATAAGCAATTTCTCTTGAGTCAAAATATTTCATGATCTTGGCTGGAGTGATGAATTTGGGGTTAAAAGCATTCCATGCTCTTGCAGAGAACTGGAGCTTATTTCCCAACATCCAGGTCAGGTAGCTCCAGATCCAGAGAATCTGATATTTTCCTTCCTGTTTTCTTCATAGGCCCCTTTCCCAACCTCACCCATATCAATATAAATACAACTTAAAAGGCTGTAGTGTGAAGACAGGATGGTTGACTGAAAAAAAAAAAACCTGCCTTTACATTCGTCTCTCTATCTTTCTCCAGTCGACTGGTAAAAGCTGAGGAAAAACAGCAGCTTGCAATGTTGTATGAAAATGTCGAGATTCCACTCATAGATGAGAAAGAGGCTTCTAAAGATGACAGTTATGGTGCATCTTGCCAGCTGCATCCAGAGAATGAGGAGCTGGGAAAATTCATTGGCTCAGGTGCTTTTTCCTATCACATTCAAATCTGTCAATGGTGATTTGATCTTTTCCAAAGAAAATTTAAGAGGGATCAAATAGAATCTGAGTTAAGAAAAAATGATGTTCATATAGAAATGAACCATTCCTGCCAAGTCTTGTTGCTTGATTCCCAATGTGGACAATTCCAAGAATCTAAGACAGAGTTCAGGAAACAAACCTTGTTTTGAATGAAACTTTACCTTGAATATAATTATTATTGGTACATTATTCCAGCATTTTGAATATCTACAAACAGACACTCCCACTTGCTTCAGGCTGGTATAAATGGGATCCAGGTCTATACAATAAAGCATTTCTCTCAAACAGAAGGACACTATGTGAGACACAAGCATATGAGAGATGCCTATGTTTATTTGTGAAGAGAGGATGCCATAAATTCTTCAGAAGCTTGATTTTGTAAAAAAAAAAAAAATACAATCTTTCAGGTCATATGTTCTAAAAGAACATGCAATGTTCAGTGTCTGGTCCAAACACAATGACATCCTCTGCTTCATTCCTTTTAAACAATCCTATATGTGCCCAACCTGAAAGAGTCACATGCTAAGAGCAGCAGTAATGGTTGATGCTTCCTGAGGTTGAGCCTTTTTTTTTTTTTTTGGTTTTTTGAGACAGGGTTTCTCTGTTTAGCCTTGGCTGTCCTGGAACTCACTCTGTAGACCAGGCTGGCCTTGAACTCAGAAATCCACCTGCCTTTGCCTCCCAAGTGCTGGGATTAAAGGTGTGTGCCACCACTGCCTGGCAGAGGTTGAGCCTTTATAACCTGTAAAAACATATTTTCCAATGCCTTTTTTAAATTACATTGGATTATTATTGGGTAATTGAAAGGCTTGAACACAGAATATAATCATTTTAAAATTCAAATTTTAGCTGAGGGTGATGGCTCACACCTCAAATCACAGCACTTGGGTAGTGGTAACAGGTAGATGGAGAATTCAGGGACAGCCTGGAATGTATAACAAGATCTTGTTCCAAAATAAAACAAACAAAAAAATATATACATAATTTTAAAAATCACCATCCTTATAAGTAACATTTAGTATTCTCTGAAAATACCTTTATTTTTTCTGACTTTCTTTATTTTCATTTCTAACTTTCATTTACTCCAATCTCAGTAATACAATTTCTATATTTTAGTTATTAAAACAAAAAGAATCGAAAACATTAAGAAGAAAATGAAGAAAGAGCAAACTGTCTTGAAGGGAACTACATCAGAGAACTCTAGTTATACCGAAAAAGTGGAGAGTCACCAATAAATGGAGAAAGATGGAAACTCAGGAAATCTGTGAAAACGAAAGAAAGGTGTACTATGTGCTAGACAATGTGGAGACTAAACTGCAGACAACCAAGAACATAAACAGGACTTCTAGAGAACCTCGTCCAAGAACATTCTACAGAAAGAAACATGAGAAGCATCTAGCAGAAAATAAATTCATATGATACCTAAACTCTTGCTTCTTAGCTGTAATAATCCATGAATAATTATAACTTAACTGGAATATAGGAAACAGTCCAAGTTCATTAAAAGCAAAAGACAGATTGTTAGGATTTTGTTCTCTGGCTCCAGACCAGAAAGATTCCTTAGTCCTTTTTTTTTGGGGGGGGGTGTCTTCCTGACTGTGATAGCAAAATATTTTCATTAAACAAAACTTTCTAAGTGATTATCAGATCTGGTCATTTATTCTCCATTTTTATACATGAAGACACTGAGGATATCATAATAAATATAGGACTAGATTAAGAGGTGGCCATTTCTGTTGGTTCTCAACTCTGATGAGGGAACGTGACCTGCAGGGAAGGAGCTACATAGGCAGTTCATGTAGCAATGAGCTATGAGTAGCCAATCGCTGGAAGGTTAGAAATGAAGACAAGCTGTTCAGTCTTTTGACCTTCCAACACAATGGCATCATGGACAAAGTTCACATTGTTGAATCAAATAACAAAAGGTTACCCCAGAAAATCTTAGTGTTTAAGTGCATTAACGGTTTTTTGTTGGTTCCCATTCATTGCCATCCTCAGTACAATTGCTTTGGAAAACAGTCTGGTCATTCCTAGAAATATAAACATGAAATTACTACATGACCCAGCATAGCTACTCCTAGATATACATGTCCGCACAAAAACTTGCCCATGTTTATAACAGAGTAATATGGCCAGGCATGATGGACAATGCCTGCAGTCCCAGCACCTGGGAGGTAGTTACAATAAAACTACAAGTGTGAGATCAGCTTATGATATACAATAAACTGTTGTCTCATTAACTGATAGACAGATGAACGAACTGTGACTTATCTGTACAATGGAGTATATCTCAGCAATTTAATGGATCAAATACTGATGTATATTCCACATATGTGTGGTCATAATGAAACCATTCTACTGCATGTACAAAACCAGACACCTACCCGTGATTTGTTTACATAAAACACCCATAAAAGGCAAAACCTGTAGAAACAAAGTGGATTAGGGGTTCTAGGGAGCTGCAAATGATGGATGGAGAGGCTGTTAGGGTGTAAGTTTCAGCCAATCTGTGTGGAAAATTGAAGAATTTCAGAAGATCAACCATGGTTTCTCACATGTTCCCATGTCAACAGGCAGTCTCTTTACTGTAATGACTGTTTCCTTTACTATATACAAGCATAGTCATTGAAGGGCAGCTATTAGTGTCAAATTGTCTTGGGCTCTGACTATGTCGGTAGTGGACAATATCCAGCTGACAGCTGTTTCAATACAACAAGCTATATACTCTATTCTTCCTGTGTCGTATTTCAAGACTGTGTTTTTAAAACTCATGGACTCCATCCATTCCATCTTTATAGGCAAAATTTGTTGGGTAACCCCATCCTGGATCAGAACCCTGATTCTGTAAATTGTACCACGGACCCAGTTCTTGAGTTCATCAGTCACATATCCATCACATTGATGAAGTCTTACACCCATGCACACTTCTTTGTAATGAGGCTAGGATTTTACCTAGAGTATTTGATGCAGTTTCCTTATACATATGGCTTTTCTGAAGTGTTAACTCTTGAATGACCTGAGGCCACAGCTTATACTGACAAATTTCTTACATATATTATACTTGTAAAATCTTTCCCTGATGAGGACGATAACTTGTTGGCAGCTGAAAAATTTCATACTGCCCCTAGTTGTAATGGCTCTTTCATAGTGGAAAAAGCCCAGAACACACTCAGATGTCTGGTTGGAATTCTCCCGTGTGCTGGTAACCTGTTGCCAGAAAGCTTCTGTGCTGAGGGGGAAGTCCTTCCCAGCCTCTCTGCTAGAAGACACCTGGAATCTGCAGCTTAGCTATTCAGCAATGAGTGTTGCTCACATTGCTTCTGAGGTGCTTTTCCCAAATGTTCTGCGTTTGGTGCTGATGCAGATTTATGTAGAAAACTGTAATTGTTTGCCAGAATGTGGAAAATTGTTTAGTAGGGAGAGAATAAAGAAATTATTTTTAGAGACATAATTCACATTGATGAGAGGTCTTATGAATGTAGTGAATGTGAGAAATCCTTTATCTAAAATTGTTACATTTTTTACTAGTTTTCCATATATTACTGACTATAATGTATTCAATATATATATTGATATATATTGATATATATCAATAACTCTGATCACAGTTTCCCCTCCCCCCTTTTTGCATGTGCCCCCCACCTCCCTTCTCCTCCAGATCCACTCCTCCTCTGTTTCCCTTCAGAAAAAAAGCAGGCATCCCAAGGATATCAACCAGACATGGCATAACAAGTTACAATAAGGTGAGGAACATACCCTCAAATTAAGGCTGGGTAAGACAACCCAGTAGGAGGAAAAGGGTCCAAGAGCAGGCAAAAGAGTCAGAGACACTCCTGCTTCCTCTCTTAGGAATCCCACAAGAACAATAAGCTACAAAACCATAACATACATATAGAGGATCTAGGTCAGACCCATGCTGGCTCCCTAATTGTTGTTTCAGTCTCTGCGAGCCCTTGTGAGCCCTGATCAATTGATTCTGTGAGCCATGTTCTTGTAATGTCCTTGACCCCTCTGCATCATACAATCCCTCCTCCCCCGCTTCCACAGGATTCCCCTGAGTTCCAACTAATATTTGGCTGTGGGACTCTGCATATGCCCCTTTCATAAAATTGTCACTTCTTAAGTCACAGCACAGTTCATACTGTGGGAAATTGTTCAGATTCCTATCTCTTCTAACACCAGAGAATTCATCATGGTGCAAGATCATGTGAGTGTGATAAATGTGGAAAAATATTAACAAAAAAATCCAATCTCATAAATGAAAGGGTTCACACTGAAGAGAGATCTTACCAATGCACCAAACGTGTACCCTCTAGCAAGTGCCCTAGACCCAGTAGTCACTGGAGAGGTAGTATGGGAGAAAGGTCTAGTGAATGCAACAAATGTAAGAGGCCTTTAACTACCACTCTAGTTTTATTAAACATGAAACAGTTCACACCAGGGAAAGGCCTTTCCTGTGAAGTGAGTGTGGGTACCTTCAACTACAATCACTTAAGACACCAGAGTGTACAAAGAGATCTAAAGGATGTTCAGAGGCAAAGATGGGCTTGTTGTGACTGAAATATTCCCCTTCAAAAATGTCCATTGCTGTCAGAGATGTAGCTAGTGGTAGAGTGTTTTCTTGGTATGCATGAAGTTCTAGGTTTGATAGCCAGCACTTGGAAAAAAAAGAGTTAAATCTCTAATCCCGCACATGGGTTTATTTATGTATAGGGCCTTTAATGAGATGTGTAACATGTTTCAGCAGTTGTCAGTGAGTACTGTTCTTGTAGAAGACCCAGGTTCTGTTCCCAGCAACCCCAACAACTGCCTCAGTGTCAGCTTCAGGGGAGCTAATACTGTTTTTAGACAGCGTGGACACCATAACTCACCTCAACTCATGGGAGAAAGGGAATATGAATAGGCATACGCATATACATTTAAAAATAAAAACAAATTTTGAAAAAGGTTAGATTGAATGAAGTTATGATGGTGAGTTCTAATCCAGTAGACAGATGTTCTTACAAAGAATATGACACTCGGAGTTTTTGTGACTATGCACAGAATAATAGCAGTACAACAGGGCAAGATGTTTGCAAGTCGAAAAGCGCTCTTCCCAGAACATGGCTGCACTTATGGCTGTATCACAGAATTCTATAATCCAGGTCTACCGTAAATTTTATTGTGTAAACCAAACCAATCTAACATTTTGTGTATATTAGCAGTCTGAGCTAATACAGCTCCTTTTATTTATAATAGAGTAAAAATGAATTGTGTGTATATTGCAGTTATATTTTGGCTCTCCAGAAAGACAGGAAATTTTTCTATTGAGTGGAGGTGTGAGCCAGTCATGACGTTGTGCGAATAAAGAATAAATATCATGCTCTGATGGGGAAACAGGTAGGTTAACTGCAGATAGAGCTTTACCTCTCCCTCCATTCCACCAAATCCAGTCCCTAGTCTCATCTCTGACTCTGCAGTAGAATACCTACTGAATCCTCCCTTTCCCCCTTCCCCCCATCTCCAGAAGATCACACAGATTTTCACCTCCTAACCTCCCTCCCCTAATTCAATGTTTTTGCCCAGCTCCAAACTCCAGCAGACACTCCTTGGGAACACACAGGGCACTCTCACCTGAGAAGGACATAGTCTAACTGTAACTCTTCAGTTCTACAAGTATACATCTACAATTATCTCTCCATTCCTCCAAGTCCAAAATTTCAATCTTATTTCTGTAGCAAACCTTCTATTGTAGCCTGTCCTCACTCTCGGTCCTCATTCCCAGAAGACTAAGCAGATTCTGGCAGAAAACTCAATTTTGCTCCTGCCTGAGGATCTAAATACCTACAACCCATCCTCATTCCTAAGTGTCAGCTCCCAATACCCAGAAATACATTTTACCTGGAACCCCCAGTGACCATACTTATCAAGACCTCAGAATTTCCTACTAGGCAACACATAGCCACTACACTCCCCCAAGAAGCAGAAAGGAAAAAGAAACCTAGGTACAACAACCAGAAAACAAACAACAAACAAGCAAAACAAAACACCAAAACACCCACCCAACAATGAAAAGACCAAATACAAGCACCTAGAAGTACAATCTTTCTAATACCAAATGCCTAGACACCAGCATAAAAACACAAACAAGGGCTGGAGAGATGACTCAATGATTAACAGCACTGGCTGCTCTTCAAGAGGACTGGGGTTCAATCACCAGTACACAGGTATCACAACTGTCTGTAATTTCAGTTCCAGTAATCTGGTACCATCACACCAACATACCTGCAGGAAAGGTGCAAATGCTCACAAAATAAAATAAAATAAAAACTATTTTTTAAAAAACACAAAACAGCCAGAAAAATATGTTCTCATTAGACCCCAGCAACCCTATCACAACAGGCCAAATATTACAACATAGCTGAAGCACAGGAAAAGACCCTATAATATGATAAAAGACCCTTTATGAATATGATAGAAGTCCTTAAGGATGAAAAATAAATTTCTTAGCGAAATCTGTAAATACACACACAGTGAAAGGAAATGAATAAAATTGTTCAGTACATGAAAGTTGAAATAGAATCAATAACGAAAACATATACTGAGGGAAGTCTGGAAATGAAAATATATAGGAACTTGAATAGGAAACACAGAGGCAAGATTTACCAACAGAATATGAGAGGAAAGAGAAAAATCTAAGGCATCAAAGACATGTTAAAGGAATAGATACATTGTACAGAGAAAATGGTAAACCTAAAAAAAAAAAAAAAAAAAAAACCTGTCACACTGTGAAGAGACCAAACCTAAGAATATAAGATATAGAGGAAGAAGAAACCAAGGTCAAAGGCACAGAAAATGTTTTCAATAAAATCATAGAAGAAAAATTTCCCATCATAAAGAGATGCCTAGAAAGGTACAAGAATTGTAAAAACATCACATAGATTGGACCAGAAACAAAATCTCCCTCAGCTCATAATAATTAAAACACTAAACATACAGAATGAAGATATAAGCTTAAAGGTCTTCAAGAGAAAAAGGCCAAGTATTATATGAAGGCAGACCCAGAAGAATTACACCTAGAAGATTCTAACACCCAGAAGGGCCTGAAAAGATGTCCTGCAGACTCTAAGAGACTACAGATTCCAGACAGCACAGAGTATACTATACTCAGCAAAACTTTCGATTACATTAGATGGAGAAAAAAAGACATGACATGACAAAAACAAATTTAATCAGTATTTATTTACAAACTCAGCTCTACAAGAGATGCTAGAAGAAAAATCCCAAAGTGAAGAGATTAACTACATCCAAAAAATACAGAGAATAAATAATCCCAGAGCAACAAATCAAAAGAAGAGAAACACAAACACACACCATCACAACAACAACAGCACCAGCAACAACAAAATAACAGAAATCAATAAACATTTCTCTTTGATATTTCTCAATGTCAGTCTTATCAGTTCTCCAATACAATGACACAGATGAACAGAACTAATGAAAAAAACAAGATCCATGCTTCTGCTGCAAGAAATACACCTTAGCATTAAGAATAGATACTACCTCAAAGTAAACGTATGGAAAAGATATTCCAAGCAAATGGACCTAAGAAGCAACCTGATATAGCCATTTTAATATCTGACAAAATAGACTTCAAACCAAACTTAATCAAGATATGGAAGGACATTCCTTATATATTCATCAAAGGAAAATCCACCAAAAGAACATAGTAATTCTTAACATCTATGCCACAAACACAAGGGACTCAGGTTCATAGACACTACTACAGCTTAAATCACATATTGACTCTCACACACTGATAGTGGGAGACTTCAATAAACCTACCTGTGCCAACAAACAGGCCATCCCAACAAAAACTAAACAGAGAAATACTCAAGATAACTGATGTTATAAGCCAAATAAACTTAACAGATATTTACAGAATATTTCACACAGAGACAAAAGAGTATAGCTTCTTCTCAGCATCTCATAGAATGTTCTACAAAACTAGCCACAAAATCAGATGCAAAGCAAGTCTCAACAGACACAAGAAAATTGAAATAACACCCTGCATCTATCTGACTACCACAGATTAAAGCTGGATGTCAGCAACAACAGAAACAACAGAAAGCCTACAAACTCATGAAAACTGAACGACTCTCTAATGAATGAAAAATGGGTCAAGAAAGAAATTAAAAGCTTTCTATAATTCAATGAAAATAAATACACAAATAAACCTAAACATATGGGACAAAATGAAAGTGGTTCTAAAAGGCTGATTCATAATAGCACTGAGTGCCTACATTTTAAAAAAATGGAGAGATATCACACTAGTGACTTAACAGCTCTAGAACAAAAAGAAGAAATAACACTCAAAAGGAGTAGGGGCAAGACACAATCAAACTCGAGGCAGAAATCAGTAACATTGAAACAAACAAACAAATAAAAAGAACCAATAAAACAAAGAGTTGTTTCTTTGAGAAAACCAGTAAGATCAACAATCTTTATTCAAATTAACTTTCCTGGAGGCCCTCCAGCACCAGGAACACCAGTTAAGGCCCTACCACAAGTCCTATACCTGCCAACTTCTCTTAAAGCACACCCAAATACCATAAACTACACCCCATTCCCTGAACTCTATTTTATGGCCCACAACTCCCCCTGCTTTCCAGCAGTCCAGGAAGGCACCAGAGATCCTAGGCCACCATGATACTAGAGACTGTGAGGCAACATTAGTACCCAAAACCTCAAAGGCCATACAGGCCACAAAAACTCCAGCAGAGATACCCTACTGGACCTGAAGGCTGGTCACCAGAATCCCAGGCCACTCAGGCAAAAAGACAAAGAGGAAACAGAAACCAAAGGGAAAAACATCCAAAAAATACCAAAAATACCTATCCAACAAAGACTAACTCAGAAATCATCAACTAAACCTATAATAATCCCAAATCCACATGACTAGAGGCCAACAGAAGAACACAATCTACAACAGCCAGAGCAATATGGCAGCTTTAGAGCTCAGCTATCCTATATCACCAAGCCCTGGATATTCTAACACAGATGAAACACAGGAAAATGGCCTTAAATCCAATCTTATGAAGATGATAGAGGCCATTAAAGAGGAAACGAATATACTCCTTAAAGAAATACCAGAAATACAATTAAACTGGTGAAAGAATGAAATAAAACCATACAATACTTGGAAATGAAAATAGAAGCAATAAAGAAAACAAACTGAGGGAATCCTGGAGAAGGAAAACCTAGGAAAGAGAACAGGAACTACAGTCATCACCAACAAAATACAAGAAATGAAGACATAATCACAAGCACTGAAGACACAATAGAAGAAACTGATGCATCAGTCAATAAAAATGTTAAATCTAAAAACTTCCTGACACAAAACATCCAGGATATCTGGGACACTATGAAAAGACCAAACCTAAGAACAACTGGAATAAAAGAAGGGAAGATTCCCAGCTCAAAGGTCCAGAAAATATCTTCAATAAAATCATTTTTTAAAATCCTCTAACTTAGAGAGATGCCTATAAATTTACAAAAAGCTTACATAAAGCCAAATAGACTTAACCAGAAAAGAAAATCCTCCTGCCACAAAATAATAAGAACACTAAATGTACAGAACAAAGAAAGAATATTAAAAGCTACAAAAGAGGACTGGAGAGATGGCTCAGTGGTTAAGAGCACCAACTGCTCTTCCAGAGGTCCCGAGTTCAATTCCCAGCAACCACATGGTGGCTCACAACCATCTGTAATGGGGTCTGATGCCCTCCCTCTTCTGGTGTATCTGAAGAGAACAATGGTGATATACTCATATAAAATAAATAAATAAATAAATAAATAAATAAATAAATAAATAAATCTTTTTTTTAAAAAAGCTGCAAGAGAAAAAGACCAAGTAACACATAAAGGCAGACCCCAAGAACCAATCCTTGACACTATGAATGATAGTCTGTTATGCGTGCAGACAGGATCTTAACATAACTATCCTCTGAGAGGCTCCACCCAGCACCTGACAAAAACAGATGCAGAGACCCACAGCCAAACATTACACAAATCTCAGGAAGTTTTGTGGAAGAGATGGAGGAAGAACTGAGGAACACAAAGGGACAGGGATTCCATATGACAACCAAAAGAGTTGGACACTTGGGAACTCCAAGAGACTAAACAACAAACCAAAGAGCATGCAAGGGCAAAACACAGGTGTCCCCCAAAACCGAAACGTCTAGCAGATGTGCATCTTGACCTTCATGTTGGCCACACAACTGAAGTGCTGGCATACCCTGACTCTGCTGCTTGTCTGTGGATCCTCTGCCTCTAACTGGGCTTTCTTGTTTGGACTTAGTGGGAGAGGATGTACATACTCCTGCAGTGACTACTCCCGGGTAGGTTGGTTCCCCAGAGGGACCTCACCATTCTCAGAGGTGAAAAGGAGGAGAGAGGGTGAGGAGAGGTGATGAAAGATGTGGGGGTGCAGAACATAAAGTAAATAAATTAACTATTAAAAAAAACAGAAAATTTAGAAGCACAAAGAAACCACAGCAAAAGCAGAAAAACAATCTGCCTGTCAGTTTCACACATGGTCAACAACCCATGACATCATCATCATCACCTCATGACACATTTAGCACCTTAGCATTGATATTTTCCAGGTCCGCATGTGAGGGGTATGCTTTGATTACCAACCAGAGGTCAGAGAACAAATAAGTGATGCCACTTCGCTCCTTCTACCATGTGGGTCTGGGTATCACATTCAAGTTGTCATGCATAAGGGCAAGAATTTTTACCCATTGAGACATCTTCCAAGCTTTCCTTTACAAACTTTAATGGTAAGAACTTTTAGCAATACACATGGAGAGAATAGTCAGTAACCATCTATATGTCCACTCTAAACGCAAAAGTAATTTGTGTTTTGTCCTAAGTATCTCACTTGAATCTTGATCTGCCTTTTAAAATAACTTTTGATCCACAAAAAAACTGTGAGGCAAAATCATGCACTTGGTCCTGGTGACTCCCCTGAGGATGTACAACTTCTCTGGAGCATCACACACTGCTGCCTATTGTGCTGTGCCTGGTGGCCTTGCCTTAGCCAGGCAGGGGTGTTCTTCTTGGGTTTCAGCAAGATGATGTAGCACTTAGGGATGAAGATGCCACCCAGAAGTCCAGCAGTGGAAGCCAGGATGGAGAAGATCTCTACAGCCACAGTGGACTTCCCTCGAGCACTATGGTACAGGGGCAGGAAGGCTATCCAGACACTGCAGAAGAGCAGCATGCTGAAGGTGAGGAACTTGGTCTCATTGAAGACATCTGGAAGGCGCCTGGCCAGAAAAGCCACAGAGAAGGTACCCCCTGCCAGGAAACCCAAGTAGCCCAGCACACAGAAGAAGGTGGCACCAGAACCCTCCTGACACTGTATGACAATGTGCTGGGGCTCTGAGATCATATCCCTGTCTGGGAATGGTGGGGAGGTGGCCAACCATACCCCACAAAGAACAACCTGTATCAAGGAAGCAATGAGGACCACCGAGGTTGAAGCACCAGGGCTCAGGAACACCTGGATCCTGCTCTGTGGCCTGGTGACTCTGAAAGCCAGGACTACTGTAAGAGTCTTGGCCAGAACAGAGGAGACAGCCACTGTGAACACCACAACAAAGGTGGTCTGACGGAGGAGGCAGGTGGTGACAGTGGGTCTCCCAAGGAAGAGCAAGGCACACAGGGCACACAGGCAAAGAGAGATCAGGAGGAAGTAGCTGAGAGTTCTGTTGTTGGCCTTGACCACAGGTGTATCCCGATGCTTCAGCAACACTCCAAGAACCAGGACAGCCAGACCAGCCAGCAAGAGTGCCACCAAAGCCAGTATGAATCCCAATGGCTCCTCAAAGGCCAGGAAGATCTCTGTCCTGGGCAGGCAATGGTCTCTGGTATGGCTTGAGTACTGCTCCTTGGGACACAGAAGACATCTCTTCATGTCTGTGGGAGACAGAATGACACCATTTCTGTAACACTATAGGAACTACACTAGCTCTGAGGAAGGTATCCCAAGCATTAACTTCTCTTGCAGCCTCTCCATCAAGTAATATATTTAAGAATTATTCTTGGTGACCAGGGCTGCAATAGATAATAATAGAGGTAAAGGCACAAAGAAAAATGCACCATCTATATCTGTTTTATGTGAGGGTTTTGTTTGTATCTTGAATCAGTTTCTCCTGTAACTCAGGCTGGCCTTGAAGTAGCTGAGTATTAGATTACCTAGAATTCCTCAGCCTCCTTCTTCACTCTCTTAAGTGCGTGATTATAACACTGCACAACAGTACCTAATTTCTGTGAGTTTATGTGTAGCTATGTTTGTGCATACATGTATGTATGTTGGGTGCACATGCATATGGAGATCAGAAATTATCACCAGATATTGTTTCTCAATCATTTCCCACACCTTATCTTTCTAACAAAATGTATTCATATTTATATACAGTTATACATTTTTGGTATGTATACGATGTGTGTGAATTCAAACATGCCATGGGGTGCACTTAGAGGTCAGGACTTTGGTCATCTCCTTCCACCATGTGGGTTTCAGGAGCAGATCTCAGGTTGTCAAAACTGACAGTGAGTGTTCAAAATCCATTTCCTTAGTCTCAACAACTTACTCTTTTTAAGAATTACTTACTTATTTTACTTGTTGAGTGTTTTGCATATATATTTTTTTTCATGATGTGAATGTGTGGTATATACAACAGTCAGAAGATGGCATCAGATCCCCTGAAACTGGAGTTACACATGGATGTGAGCCACCACACGGGTGATCCTAACTGAGAAGCCATCTCTCCAGACCCTCTTTACCTTTGGTGTTGAAACAGAATCTCTACTGAGCCTAGAAATCACTGAGTTGACTACACTGACCAGCCACAATCCACTTCAATTATGTGACCTTTTTAGCAATTGGTATTTTTTGCAATAGAAAAAGGTCATATTAACAAGTGTTTTAGACAGAGTAGTACCCAAAATATTTATTTGTTAAAGTCTTGTCCATCAGTATCTCAAAATGGAACGGTATTTCACAGTAAGTCAACTAAAGATGAGGTAAAAAGCAGACATTCATCTATTCCAATTCTCTATGGCTTCCTCCGTCCCAGCCCATTGAGAATCCTCCTGGTCAGTCTCTTCTTCTTCCTCTCATACTATGGAATTGTTTGGCAATGCCTGATGGATATCTGAAGTTCCAGCCTATTCTCTTCAGCCCAGCTATAGGCTGAATCAGAGGTGATGGAATAGAAATTTTACACATCATTGAGAAGGAGATGATTGACAATGTCAGTGTCTAGACTACGACCAGATCTCTGGGTACAGCAATCAGCACCTGAGGACACAGTGCCCAAAACCATCCCCAACATTTTCCATCAAGACACACATGAAAAAGAAATTGCCATGGCAAGGCCAAGGTGGCAGGTAATGGAACATGGGGCTGGGAAGTGGGCAAAGCCAGCATTCTCAGGTTAGAATAGCTCAGAATCTACCCAGCTATAGTGGCTGAAGCCTTTAATGCATGTGTCTTTGAATCATTACTCAAAGCAAGGGCTGGACTAGAAAAGCACTTAGTTTTACAGTGTTTGTCAATGGGCAATCCATTAGGCTGTGTAATTATGGATCATTCACTTGTTTGTCTCAATAAAGTACTTACCAAGAAACAATTATAAAGGAAGCATTCTCAATGGTGTTCCCACCAAAGTCCACAGGAAAGCAGAGAATGGCACACCTCAGTAGATGGGTGAGGTGGTATGGATGAGAATGGCACCTATAGGCTCATATATTTGAATGTCTGGTTCCTACATGCTGGGCAGTTAGAGATTGATTGGGAGCAGCTATAGCCTTGTTAGAGGAGGTGTGTCATGATATATGGCCTTTGAAAGTTCAAAATCCCACACTAGGTCCACACTCCACATTAACAACTGCATGCTGCCTCTGGATCAGAACTTAAGCTCTCAGATACTGGTATAGCAACATGCCTGACTGCCTTCTGCCACATGTCCTACCATTATAGCCATGGACTCAGCCTGTGAATCTCTAAGCAAGCCCCATTTCCATATGAGTCTTTTAGAAGCTGTCTTGGTCACAGTGTCTCTTCACAGCAGTAGATCAGTTACTAAGACATTGGAGAAATACAGGAGGTTCACAGTGCCCTGTAGCTCACTCAGATCCCAGGTCCTTACCTCGCTGGTCTGCAAATTGTCCCTCAGGGCATGGACTGCAATCAAAACAGCAGTGGGGGGCTCCCAGTCGGGGCACTTGGCTGAACCCTGGAAGGCAGTTTTCACTGCAGATAGAGGTGGGCACCTAATAACAAGGAGCATAGTGTCACCAGTGACTCTCCAGGGAGACAGATGCTTGACCTCAGCCTGAGAAGCAGAACACAACAGTTTCCTCTCAGCCCACTAGATGAGAGGCCTTTCAGAAAACATTGCTGTCCCAAGTGATGCCAAACACTAGAGGTACTAATTGTACATAATAGAGGATGGGCTACATACAGTTTCTTTAGCTAATGGCTTCAAAACTATAGGAAACAGTGTAAGGGGTTGGCTTCTGATCTCTCTGTGGCTCATATGTTAACAATTAAAGGTCAAGGGCTGTAAAGATGACTCAGCTGTCAGGAGTACTGGCTGCTCTTCCAAAGAAGCAGTGTTCAATTCCCAGCACCCACAGAGCATCTCACAGTATAATGCCAGTTCCAGAGGATCCAATTCACTCCTCTGGCTTCTGCAGGCACCAAGTGCACACATAATACACAAATATGCATACAGGCAAAGTACCCACACATGCATAATAAACAATGAAAACAATTATAATATAGTCAGACATTCAGAAGCACTGCCATGCCCTTCTGTCAACTCAGGCTGCTTGTCTCAGTTACTCAGAAAACCATCATTTTCATGTTTTCTTCTTTATTCTTTTTTCTTTCTTTTGGAAACAGCCCATATCTTGGCCCTGCTTCCCTTCTTGCTCTTGGCCTTCTCTCTCTGATGCTCCCTGAAGCTTTGAGGCTGCTTGCAGGCCTCCATGCCTAACTCAGAAGACATGGCTGTCTTTCGTCCTCTTCCCCATCTCCCTCTCTGTGAAGATGTTAAGATTTACAGTTTGACTGCCCTGTGTTTTTCATGTAAAGTCTAATAATAAAGTGACCTCATGCTTCTAAAAGAGAAAAATTGTAGACACTGATTCTATCAACCAAACACACACACATACACTTTCAGAGTACACCCAGTGGTCCTCCCACTTTCATGGGACTTGCAAGGTCTGACTCAGTTTCTCTTAGCACAGCTCTACCTCCATGCAAGGATTATCAAGATGGAAGGGTGGGATGCTGAGGGATCTGCCACAACAGAAGGCAGCAGAAATCCCAACCAGATCAACCCCAATAAAGGTACTTCAAAACAATCCTCTGAACACTTAACGTGTCCTTTATGCTTGACAAATCCAAGAATGGGAACCTCATTCTCATGTGGAAACCTTAAGCCCACTATTGACAGGAGATGTCACCAAGACAAAGTATACAGAGTTACAGAGGACAGGACTCTTTGTCAACTGGCAGAGGACAGGGAGCTGAGGCATTTCTAGGCACCAGAATACACACAGACACATGCCTGTCTCAAAACAGCTGTTCATTTTGTTAATAAATGTTAATGTCTGAACCGCAAATGTTTCCCAAAGTCTTCTGTGTTGACCATTGGTTACCAGATAATGTGTTTTTTGAAGAATAATGGATCTTGATGCATCTGACCTAATCAATGGATGAATCAGTTCCTCAGTGGACTCCTAATTTCATGAATTATTTTGTAGACCGAGCATTGTATGTATTTTGGGGTCCAGCTGTGGTTTCACATCCTCAGGTTCCCCATCTCATGGGGTCTAAACACCACCACACATCAGGCTAGACAGATGAGGCAGAGTCTGGAATGGGCGGGTGTAACCTTAATTTTTTAAATTTTATGTTTAATGATGGTTTTCAAATTTTTTACCCTTTTAGTCCATGACCCACCAAAGGTAGTGGAAAAGAAAAGATATGGAGGAAGTGGAACTATTTAGAAATGGGTTTTTTTTTGTAACTTTCATCTGTATTGTTTGGAAATCAGCAGTTTAGTTTATAGGAGTCAGTAGTCATGCTCAATCCATTCATAAACATTTTATGGATATATCAGTAGTCTAGATTAGTAGAGTCAGGATAGAAAACACAAATCAGCAGGGGTGACACTATCTAGCACAGTTAGCCAGGTCTCAGCCTCAGCATGTGTCAGTAGTAGGGACCCAGAGGAATGTCAAGAGAAGTTCTCAGCTATGTCTCTCTCAATGCAGTGAAGATCAGCGAAGACTCAAGACCAACAAACACTGTATAGCCAGCTTTATATGTAAGCCTAGCTCAGCTTCCATCACTGTCTATCGAGTTTTTTATACACCCTCTGAATATCACATGTCTTCCATTGGTCTTGTCTTAGCACATATTTTGTCTTAGCATGTGTATTTGTGTCAATTGATATCATTCTGTCCTGTCAATCAGCTCAAGTCCAAAGAAGCAAGAAGAAACTGCAGCACACCACCAGAAGTTTTTTGGTGCATTTTTCTCTATGGAGTCTCGATATATGGAGCTCAACTATACAATGTAATGTGGAACAATATATGTGTGTCATTAGCCAAGAATCCTTTATCATGTGTTCTTTCATGTGTTTGTTTTATCAAAACATCTTTTCTCTTGTGTCTATCTTAGCTAAACATTCCTTCCTAAGTCTGTCTTAGTCTTTAACCTGTGTCCAGTTCAGGAAACATTCTTTTATACCTTTTTCCCAACAAAACATATTTTAACACAACTGACTTTCAAAAAACCCTTAAGTTTCCACTCCAGGTAGGTCTGCAGGATCTTGTTTCAGCTGTATGGGGGTGTGGAATCTCTGAGGATCTTAGTATTACAGCTCTTATAGACAAAGGCCTATTTCCAACTGTCTTCAATGAAACAGCTCTCTTAGACAATCTTAGTTCATGCACATATTTTTCTTGTGGGGACTTTATTCAGGATGAACAATCGATATATATAGACTTTGGAGAGTAGGGAGGAGTTTCAGGATAAATGAAAACTATTGCCTAGAGTTTAAAGTTCTATGGATGGCACATTTGTATTGAGAGGCATTCCAGGAATCCCAAGTACTTGCTACGTGGTTTTTTATCAGGGAAAGAAGGAAGTTTGTAGGTGTGCCAAGGACTACTCAACCTTCCCCAGGTAGAGGATGTTGAAAATCAGGCTCACCAAGACAACATCAGAGAAGGGGAAGCCCTGCTAGTAAAGAAAGTCCTCCATTTTGTGCCAAGCTCAGAGGAGCTATCCAGTCATGGTAGACTGCAACATTAATTAGGAGAGCTTCTCGTAGAAGGAGAAAATAGGACATAGGACCTAACTGGAGGAAGTGTGACTCAGGGGCTGTGCATTGGTAAGATGTAATGTGTTAATCTATTTAATGTATCTACAGTGCCACCTCATACTCACTGGGCTCCATGAATTGGAAACCTCTTTGACCACACATGCCTGCTGCCAAGACTTATTGCCTCAGCCACACACACCCAAAGCAATGGATCCATCTGGCCTTGGACCTCTCACACCATGAGTCAATAAAAGCCTTTCCCCACTTTACACTGTTTCTCAGGTGTTTGTCATGGATGGTTAAATTTATCACAGCAAGTAACCTGAGAGTATCTACTGAGTCTACTTCCTAGGTGGCCCATGGAAAGGTGTTGGCTTAGTGAGACAATATCTTCTTGTTTACAGAGCAGACCCTGAACACAGACAATGATAATACTCTCAAAAAAAAGAAAAGAAAAGAAAAAAGCAGATGCAGATACTGATTCTATTTTGGGAATCTAGTATTTCCTTTTTTCTCATTGTCACATGTGTATGGTATAAATATGTGTATGTGTTTTTGGCAGCTACATGGGATTATGTAAATATATGTACATAGGGCAATAGAGGCCCTAAATTAATGTTCTCCATTAACCTAGTTAATGTTAATCATTCTCCATTGATTTTTCCACTATGCACATTGAAGCTCAAAGTTAAACCCAGAGATAGCTGTTATGGGGATTCCTACTAGTTAGCTGGTTTGGGCCATCTCCTTGTCTCCACTTTCCAGCAATGAAATTACAGGAAGGCCACATCACCCAGTTAGCATTTATAAGTTTACTGGAGATCCAAGGTCTGGACTTTGTATAACAAACCACTGAGACATCTCTCCAACCCCAGCTCTGATATATATTTTTTTGCTGATCAATCAGTATCATTCAGTGGAAAGAGGATAATCTGTTCAAATGCACTGGCCTAATCCAGACCAACATCGACTTCATGTACAAGAAGACATGAGGAACCCTGGACTTGGAATTTCCCTGAGACTTTGAAACACTAGGACAACAGTTATCTCTGCATTCATGGAACTCACTTGCAGATCCTCCTTCAACTGCACCATCATTTTGTTCCCTGAAGAGGCTTGAGGGTCTATCATGCCTACATGGACCAAGCGGAATACACCTGCAGGGGTCTTCTGCCCTTGGAAGATATTAAATTGTGTCACCAAATCTCCATTGGCATCAAACATAATCTTATTTCCATCAGGAGTCTTGAAGTGCACCTTTCTGAGAGCATGAAGCAGCTGGGGAAAGAAGGGACATATTGAACATTGGACAGGGTCTGTCCAAGGGCTAAAGCAAATAGCTTCAGCAATAACAAAGAGCCAGTTCAACCAAAAAGTGTTCCCATTAGGCATATGACAGCTCAAGGACAAGTGATATTTTCAGCGACTCACAAAAAATGTTCTAGTTTTACTAAATTAATAATAATGATTATAATCCATTTCATATTTAAACATATTACAAAGTATGTGTGTGTGTGTGTGTGTGTGTGTGTGTGTGTGTGTGTGTGAGAGAGAGAGAGAGAGAGAGAGAGAGAGAGAACGAATCTCATACATGACACACATTGGAGATTTTAGGCATTAATTCTTGAGAATGTTGTCTTCTGCTGTACTGTGGGAGAAAGGAATTATTATGCTTGAGGCCAAGTGCCTTTACTCACTGAGCCATCTGACCAACCTTAAAATTAAACCCAAAACATCACAATGTGGTGCTGAACCCAGGGTCTCATTTGGCTGTGCCCTACTGTCTCAAACTTCCCATCAGACTCTTCAGACTCCAAACACTAGCAAGGCTTCCACAGACTGACCCCAGCCCAGCTAGGCCTCCCAATCACTCTGACAAGTCTGTCCCACTCCTTCAGTCCCACACATGTGGTTCATCTTATTTGTCTCCATTCTAGCATGTTGGCACATGCTGTCCCTACCATCTGTAATCCTATCACTTCTTCCCATGACATTTCTTATCCTTGGTTCAGACCTCAGGTATTTCCTGACAGACAGAACTCCTCAGGCCTTACTCTGCCCTTCTCTTGCTTTTCACTCCTTCATTTACTTTACATATTTATCCTAGATTACACACACACACACACACACACACACACACACACACACAGAGTTATCACACACTCATATATGGGATTTTGTGATAGGATCTTGCTGTGTAGTCCAGGTTGGCCTGGAACTTGATTCTCTCGCCTCAATCTCCTGTGTACTAAGATGACAGGCATGGATCATCAAGCCTGGCCTCCTGTAATTTTTAATCTGTTCATCTCAGCCAAAAAGCCAACAACTATCACTGTTCTTCTGGATCAAAACTGTATTCACCAAGCACACAGTATAGACTCAGATAATCTCACTGAAGGTTATGAAAAACATATAATCGCTCCTTAGCCACCACCCTCAGTTTATCTATCAGTGAGCAACATGTCTTCCAAGGGTTATCTTGAATATTTGGGATGATAGATAGATAGATAGATAGATAGATAGATAGATAGATAGATACATACATACATACATACATACATACATACATACACACATACATACAAGGAGAAAATGACCAAAATGTATATAAAGTGTATAAAATTATAAAATAATAGCATAAATAGACAATGAGGTAAGAGAACAGGAGTTAACTTAGTCATTAAAGTCCTTGCCACACAAGCTACAGGATAGAACTTCAAACACCCAGAACCCTCCTAAATGTCAAGTGCATGTGGCAGTCATTCTGTAACAACAGCTTCAGAGGGTGAAGACAGATGATGCCTAGAACAGGCAGATTAGCAGGACTAGCCATATCAACAAGGTCTGGTCTTGAGTGAAAGACCATGCCCCAAAGGATAAGGAAGAAGAGTAAAGAAGAGTAATTGAAGAGTAATTACTCACATAATCCTCAGACCTTCCCATAAGTAGGCACACACATATGCATACCCTCCACATGGACCTGCTTGCCTACACACATGCCCACATACAACTATATATATATAATTTGATATCTCTTCAAATTTTGACTTTCAGCATGCCTGTACTAAAACTTATCCACTGTATATCTAAGCTCAAATCTCAAATTTGGGACAGTAAAAACTTTATTATTATCTGAAAATGAAATTGTTCAAGGCATCTTGTACTTGTACAGAAGCATCTCCACAAGGACCGGATTCATCTGAGATCACACAGACAGTATGGACACCTTCAATGCAACTTCTATGATGTCTCTCATTTGCAAAGATGGGACTTCCTTACTGAAGCATACCAAATCTGTAACACTTCCATAGCTTAGTGAAAACCATTGTGCCTGTTCTCCAGCCATCCTGACCCATCCACTCCACACATGTCCCTCTTACCTGCCAGGGATGAAAGTCCTGGGAGTCTGTACCTTTCCCATCCTGGTACTCACAGGCTAGCATATTGTGCAAGGCATGAGCGATGCTGTACACAGCTGTGTAAGCAACATCAATACTGCTCACTTCTGGGAAAGGATGTAGCTTGTTTTTCAGACTCTCATTCCCTGAGCAGAACTGGACACCCTCTGTCACTGTGCTCTTCTGGTAGGGCCATGTACAATCAAAGGTGAACTCCCAGAACTTCTTTATAAACATGTCTTCTGGGGTCTGGCTGGGGCGCAGGTGAGCAAGGAACTCAGGGAAGCCAATTGCCCTGCTGCTCTGATGCAGAAGGCCAAATGTGCCTTGCAACACCTGGGAAAAACCTGGAATGGTCAGAGTGAGTGCCATGTGCAGAGTGTCGTTGATGACCCACACATGGCCTGAGAAAGGAACAGCCAGTAAACCATATAGGATTAGCTGGAAATTTGAGTTACTTAGAAAAACCAGAACAACTTTGGCTGTACATTTCTGCATTTTTTGGATAGTCTCTT